AAAAAAATAAATAAATAAAATAAAAACCAATTTTTTAAAAAAGATAATAGAAATAAGTTTTGATTCGCACGAATGTGTGCTAGACTTAGGCCCTATCAAAGTACATTGGAAACCAACGGATATTGAGATTGCCTCATTCAACTCATAGTCTGTATACATAAGTTTTAAATACGTGTGAATATTTTAGATGAAAAGAAACGAGAATGTGCATGGTATTGTTATGCACCAATTCTAATGACCAAAGGAAAATGAACCAATAAGCCAAAAAAAAAAAAAAAAAAAAAAAAATTATAAATAACTTCTAGACTTCATATTTTAAAAGTGAAAACATCATCGTAGAAATTTTACAAAATGTTTGTTAACCCATATTAAATATCGATTTAGAAAAATCTCTTTAAATTCGATTTCAATAAATAATGGAAATTGAAATCATCCAAAATTCACTTGTTATTTACGGTGTTATTCAGCATTTTTCTTGAATATATCTGCAATATGTATTGTACTGTTCATCGTCTTCCTGTTCAAACTATTTATCCACTAACCTAACAGAATTTTCTTGCACATTCTGTCATATCTTCTCTCTCTTTCTTTTTTCTTTTCATATTTTTTGAGACAGAAAAAAATTTAAGGAAATCATTTATTCTAATTTACACGTTTTCTAATATTGCAAAATTACGCTGAATATTTTCATCACGATTCAAACATTCTGAAATTAATGTTCCACCATTAGCATTGCATTCGTAATTACGGAAAATGTTGAAGTGTATTTCGTTTTCAGATTTAAAAGATTTTAAATTGAAAATGAAAATGTAAAGAAGTGTTTCATTAAAAAAAATTATGCACATAAAATAGAAAAAAAATCCAGTTTATACAACAGCCAAAATACTAGGCTTTTTCCATAACAGGGGGGCGCAAATAAGGTAAAAAGAGAAAGCTTAAGTTAGAAAGCAGATTATGTAAATATGAAAAAGGCAAGAGATGAATGCATTAAACAAAAGAGTCGAAAATCAAACAATAGGGGAAATGAAGGAGTCAGAAAAGAAACTGGAAGACTGTAAGTACAAAAAGAAGCTGAAGAGGCCAAAAAGTCGTAGATGAAAATCGACTGACTGAAGTGAAGATGGATGATTTATAACATTTAAGCTTTAAATGTTCATCTTACAGATGTATTTTTATGCGAGGATAGTACATATCTAGCAGGCTAAATAAAGTATCAAAAACGTCTTTGTGAAGTCGTTCCACTAAAGTCTGCGACCAATGTACAGCCTTGTATTATCTGACAAGCATCATACTTACTTTCTGTATCAAATATTATCTCACTCGTGAAGAGCAGATTTTAAAGTTAACGAAAATGTAATAGCATGAGGCAGGCGATTTGCTGGGAATCCTGAATCTTTAATGACCTTGGCAGCGACATACGAATGTTATTCGATTCACAGTTGATCATTTTAGATACTGTAAACTAATAACCAAATGTATTTTGGATCTAATAAACACGTTATATATGAAAATGGATCTATAAGAAATTATATTCATATTTATATCAAACATTGATTACTTTTGCATAATCCTGAGACATTTTCATTAAATGAACACCACAGCAACTTTAGTCCACTGTTGACTCACATATTTATATATACATCCCTGCCAAGTTGAAATACAGGGAAGAAAATGTGCATTTAGAGAGACTGATTTCATCGAAAGATTCGTAAGAAAAGAGAATATATCACGACCAACAGCGTCAATCGTGACTTAGCCATATATAATCTGCACGCACATATCACCATTTGTAGAATTAGCACTTCCATCTATTTTTTCAGAAATATAACACGCAATCTTTTTGCACACGGATTGGTTAGAAGAACAACCGAATTCCCAAAGACGAGGTTGTGTTCCCTTGACGATTACAACTTTATGAAGAAGCCCATAAATCGGTTTTCTTGAATCAGACCTACTGAAATGATATGTTTCTAATTATGTGTATTTATCGATAAGAAATTGTTAGAATAAATTTCGTCTCAAGGCAAGGTGATGTTTGTAACTTGTATCGTACCATGGGACCTTTATTGGCCTAAAGTGCATTCGTTTTTGAATATTCCGTTTGTTAATAGTACTTTTAAAAGTGGAATAATGTTGTGCTGCTTCTAAATGATAAAATGAAAATTGGCACAAAAATTAAAAAAAAAATCAAATCAACGAATTTCATGACGTCCTAAACAATATTCTGGTGTTAACCGAACTGGTTTCAATTCCGGTAATACTTGATAAAAATATGTTTAAGGCATCCTTTTTCTTTACTAAGCATAACCATAGTGAAAAGTTACATGTATTCATTGCTCTTTGAGTCCCCATAAAAATACGACTTGTGGATCGAGTTATAAACTCTATCAATCTAAATGCATTTAATATGCTTTTGACATAGGCTTACAACAGAGAAAATATCAACATTTAATACCGAATAAACGCTGTATAAGCCCTTTAACATGTGGCATATTCAATGTATACGATACTGTCCCCCAACGTGAAATTCTCTGTATTATTAGCTGATTATTCTAAAGCTTGGCAGTTTAAGATATTCAATTTTGTTTGTAGTTTAAGATTTCCAGTTTTGTTGCTGAACTTATTTGACTACTAAAAACATGTCTGTTGCACCCTTTAAAACAATCGTTTTACCCTCAAGTTTTTTTATCTTTAGTGATTTTATCTTCTTTTACACTTTGACTAACGAGTGACAATCGATTTATTAACCGATTTTATGCGTTTCCTCCTAAAACAAATGCACATTTGAATCATAGCAAAGCATGGGGTATACCAGAAGGGATAAAAGAACGTTTTATTAAAATGGCTTAAGTCATATTCCTGACCAAAATCTTCAGGAGAGTTATGCCCTTCGACTTTTTTGTTGACAAAAGTCAATGACTAAATCATTTGATTATAAACTGCAGGTACGATTTAACAATGCTCACTAAAGGGTGAAACAAAATAAGACTAAATACATAAAAACCGGTATTTAGTTTCTCCCTGTCACAAAATTAATCGTGTCTTGAACTTCGCAAAAATGCAATAAAAAGCAGACAAATCCAGTATTTATTATTTCAAGGTGGATTTCAAGCTGTGTTAGGAGAGTATTTTGTTAGGAAGAGATACATATAAAAACAACGGCCCACACTTCTTAGACCGTGGTGAAATAAACAAATTATTCAAGTGTGTACGCTTGGGGTGACAAAGTCACGTCGCCATGCGTGAACATTTGATGATTCTCAGTGAGGCGTGGGTCGCGCGTGCCAGTGTTCCCTCACTGTCACTCAACAGAAAACGCGTTCATGGACTCTTTGAGATCGATAGTTCTCACTCAATCAAATTCGCTCCCTAACAAAACGGACGAATTAAATACGAAATTTAAGCGCACGTTTAGAGTATCAAAAGTAACCATGCATCACCGGGCACGCTTCAGTCAGCCGGGTGGAAATGAAGGGTTCACTTTCATAGAAGTTGAGCAAACCATCTGGTAAAAAAATTGTCAGGGAGAAGTGATGAATCTCTTTCCCATTGTTAGGCTCTAATGAAGAAGGAGGAGAAAACGTGCACTTACCGTCGACACACAGCTTAATGCAACAAGTAGATCCTAAATTTTCCAAAGATGTTGTGGGTTCAAGACTTGCATCCTTTTGTCTATGTGGTGTTCTTAACTTGCTTTCTTATACTAAAAGACGCATTACTTTAAAACTACCCTGTTTCTTTTTTCTGTGAAATATGATTGCTTTATCCTCCCAGATGAAATGAGGTGAAAGATGCGGCATTATAGCGAGAAAATAACGTATAGAATTAACGAAATGAGAAATACTTCAATTTTATTCGGTTAAGAGAACAATGATTAAATGCGCTGGTTGCAGAATTTAACGTTCGGGTACCAGAGGCCCATGTCAACTACTGTTCAAAATAACATACCTTGTCGATTTTTAAGTTTCGTTCTAGAGAATGAACAAAGACATCATCACATTAATGAAATATCATGCAAACAATCAGCAGAGGCTGGGCTCAAGTTGCACGCGCGCACACCTAACCCCATTTTGCGTGCTACCGTGAGCAAGCCAAGGTGGGCATCTGTTAACATTTTCCGCCTTGTTTCACTCGCACGGGGGAGATGACTTGCAATGGTCACAGCTGCCAGGAATTTTACAATCAATAACAAAAGCCAAGGGTTCTTTCTTCACAGTCAGTACTTTTAAATCGACATTCTGATAACTTAATTTATTGGTTATAGTTAGAATAGTAATTAAAACCGACAAACCGGAACATGTTATCACCACGACTGCTCCACAGTCTCATCACGACATAAGTAGCAGACATGTAGATTGCCCAGGGCTTCAACTTGGGACGTCTATGCTCGGACAATGCAAGTCCCGAATACAATGACCTTTTGATTGATATTAATATTTATGTTAATTCTTATCACAGGTTACAAGGGCATTGCGTCCCACAAAAACGCTTACTTTTGCCAACATAAGGAATGAAGACAAAAGGGTGTCTAAGCGAACCCTGTACTTCATGGGGAAACATGGTTTAGTTCGAGAAATTGGCAAAATATTTCTGTAAATCAAACTTGTATCAACTTGTTTGCAACATGTTTCACGTATTTACCGGCATCGTTGTACTTGTTTTTAGACCACTTCTGGCGGTGAAAGTCACCTTTCATATGAGAAAATTGCTTAAATACGACCCATTTTTTTATAGTAATTAATGCCAAATTCTTTCCCCTTATGTTGACTATCAATTTGATGAAAGAGCTAAACAAATGTTAGGTCAAATAAATCACATTTTACTAATCTGTATCTTTTGTTGAAAATCATCAAAATGTTTTGAAAACTGATATTTCTGAAACTGTGACATCGTCATATAGAAAGTCCAGCATATTTGATAATGATAATAAAAATAATCCTTAAAATTGCTTTTTCTCCACACTTCAGCCAATTTCAAAACAGGGAGATATAAGAATTATGCAGTAGTCTCATTCATATTTATTGATCATTCTATTTACAATAGTTACTTCATATATTATATCTTGTTCTGATACTTATCATGTTGTACATAGTCAATAAAAACATTAAAGTATAAACGATGCGAATCATTTTAACATGGTCATTAACACATACTCTGCGGAGCAGTAACAGCACTTGATAAATGTTTTACATAAATATTTCTTTTTCAATTCAATTAGTGCACCTTCAATTCTTTACAGATGAAATATTTACAAGATTATTAACAGAAATGAACTCATTAATCAAAATATTGTTACAATAAAAATGGCTGTAAATATTTTAACATATAATACTATCTAAATCGGAGAGATATACCAATCTTAAGTGGTAGCAATATATTTACACCCAACAGATCATCTTTCTCAGTTCAGCCCAGGTGAAAATCTGCCAATTAGTTCTAACAGATAAAAATTAACCAGTTCCAGAATTGTTTTCACTTCATCAGGTGTGAAGGTGTCTGGTGTTTTTGGGTCACATAAGGGCACCAGAGGATTTGTTTACAGAAGACCCAATTCATACATGTAACTTACAAAACAATACTATCAGTTGTGTTTGGAATAGCATAGCAGGTTCTAAGTCACAAATCTTTCTATTTGAGAAGATAAAAAACAATCTAGCCATTGTCTGTCAGTGAGTGACACTACCATATTGACTTTGATATCATCAAAACATACAGTTCTTGGGATTCAATACTTGCATCTGATTAAATTCTGCTGAAACCTTTCAACCCATAGTCAATGGTTGCATGTCTAGTCACCCAGGCATGAAAACATGTGACAACATGAAAGCCGAGATGATACTTCAAATTCTGCTTCTACAGACAAAGCAGTCTCTCGTCTATTAATGCTCTTGCAAAACAGAACCAATTACAATTGCTTCCAGAACTAGCATTGTTGGATGTATCATTTTCAAAAATTAATTCTTACTGGGGCATGCAATATCTAAATGACATCACAAAAAATTAGGAGTAGCAAGCACCAAGCTGTAAAATATTAGCCATCATTCACTAGTTCTCTTCAAAAAGAGTCCAAAACATTTTGATTACATGTATGCAGCAGACAGAGGCTGGAAACCATGGCACCACATGTGTTGACATACAATTCAATTAATGTTTTTTACAATGATAAAATATTTAGCTTGTTCCACAAATATAAGAGAAGCAAAACTGACAGTAAAAAAGTAACAGGAAGACTAAGCTGCTTTGGTTTTCCCTGCACAGCATGGAGTGACAAAGGATAGGGTGAACTTTATTCATCATTATTAGCATATAATCTTCTCCTCCTCGATGGATATGATGAGGATGATCTAATGACCTCAGGAGGTGAGCAGGGCCCACCTTTCTAATAACTAGATTCAAGGCCCCATGTTGACCATGGGATGATTAATATATGTAAAGCCAGCTTCTGGGTACATTATTCAATGATCATGACAATACTTGGTGGATATCAAAATGGCGTCCTGTCCTTGGTAACCCCCTCACACAATGTTGACAGCTGGAGGTGACGATTTCAAGTGTACTGTGATCAGACTTTCCTGTCACTAAAAATAAGGGAAACATAATTCAGTTATGTATAATTTATGCTCAAATATTTAATTGGAATTATACAAATCCATTAGTTTGTGAGAAATATTGAAATAAATTGTCATGTTCCTAAAAGCTCAATTACGTCTTCAACCTATTACTGTGGGCACAAGACTGAAGATACCATATAAATTATGCCCCGTCTAAACAGCAAACCACAAAAATCCATTCTTTATTTACAAATGAAAGACTGTATAAAGAGGTTTCTCCAAATCATAGAAAAGGATTAGACATGGAGGCTGTGGGCACATGCTGGGTTAACATCACTGCAGCTGTGACCCATGCATGCATACTAAATAACCAAAATGGCGGTTCACCTTAAAACCATGTCAATTTTTAAATACATTGTTTTGTCTAAGCACATACTAAAGACTTATCAAACCACTGAAAAGTTTTTTTACAAGGCCTCATTGAAAATTAAACCTGTAGGCAAAATAGAGGAAATTAGTATAAATTTATCGTGCGATTATTTACGATGACATTTTTATGAAGTTCCCTATGCTTATAACTTGTGGATTTATAATTAGACGAAAAAAAATGTCTAAAAAAAATTAGACACAACATAGGCTCCAAGGCAAGATTTGATTATCCTGAATCATTAAAAAGCAGATGTGATAACAGGATAGAGCTTGGGGGCATGAAGGCATAATACTGATTTGTCATTATCTTTCTGCCCTAACATTCACTGGAAGAAACTTGCGTAGTGGAAAAAGAACTTGGGGCAACCGCTGTGCCTTCTTATTCACACTGCATCATATTACGTTGAACAGCAGTCAGTCTAAATTCCATCCCATGTGCTTGATGACAGCGCTATCGATTGGTAGCGATCATAATGAGCACATGCAAACATTTTTGATGCTGAGATTAAATATTTGCTGTGTCTAAATGTCAAGCCTTTTTTTCTGTAACACACGGCACGAAGTTGTGAACTGGAGCAATGATCAGCATCTACAGCGCTTTTCAGTCCGCCATATTGGACATTTTTTTAGCTTCTATTTTGAAGACTACCAACATAAAAATACCAACAAGGTTTCACGAAGCTGATGAAGATAAAAGATAAATTGAAAGTGCTTTTTCGTATATTAGCGCTCGTTCTCCTGCCAATTTCTTTGATCGAAGAATTATTTTTAAACAAAAAATGGTGGTGTTACGTTTTAAAATCTTATAGCTTGAAATATTTCGATGGAAGATCCCCTTAGAGAAGGATTACTCTTGCACAATAACTTGTTATCTTGTGTAATCCAGTCCAATTAATCTAAAGATTACGTTCAAATACGTGAAAAAAATAGAGAGAGAATGTTTACCAAATTGCCTTACAAGAATAAAAATTGCATGAATTCAATCAGTTAGAATCCTATTCATTTCATCTATATTGCAAGGATTTTCTGACAGCAAAATTAAAGTGACCCACTGTAGTTGTGCAGGAAGGTGAGGGCCACCATTTTGAAATACTTCTCAGCAGGTTGGGCAGTTTTACATAACAAAGACATAACATATTTGCATGCGAAATGTTGACAACGCTGAGCTGAAAGAGATCTTTATCAAAATCAGAATAGGTTATTTTGCGAGTTTTTATTCAGGGTTCAAACTCTAGGTCACAAAAGTAGGGCAAACAAAGAACCCTAGACCTACGAAAGGCACTGCTGTGATTTGCAGCTGGAAAGATGGCAGCCAAACTGAACTTGTTAAGTCATATATCATTTGTCACTTCACAAATGACTCAATTTATAACTTATAAAAGCATTACCCAATCAATAATTAATTCAGCTGCAAAAAGGTTGGCCTGCAGGGGAGATTTTCATGTTTTTTAGTAAATGTAACCTTTTTGTTGAACGAAAACCGCATGACGTTTCTGATAAGAACATCGTTCTGCAGAACCTTCTCATTATCTGATTAAGAATGGATGATTGCAATTTCTTTTTAAAGGACCTTCTGCTACCAATCAACGTACCATCTGCAGAGGTTCGACTCATTGCGCTTCGTGCAATGTACGCCCACTGAGAGAAAGGTTTTGCGTAAATGAAGAAGAAGAAAAAAAAAACTAGATCTGGCAGCCTTTGAAGTAGAAAAAAGGTTAAATTGTTAGATCTCTTCAGACTTAAATACATACAAAAAAACTGCGCCTTGACTTTGAATTGCCGCTGGTAATGGAACGATGGGATAAACTTAAACAATATGAGATTGTTTATTATCTCACAATGGAAGACTGAGCTAATTTGAAACAAAGCTGTTTATAAGAGTGGCGAATAAGTGTAAATTATTCTTTACGGCAATTCATATCTTTTGATGATGAAATACTGAATTTGCATAAATATAATCATTTGTCCAGGATAAAGATTTTTGTCTAAAGCGTCATCAGGTACAGTTACAGATCCAGACAGTCACGTACAACTCGTCGCAGTTTTATCGATCGGCATAAAGAGACTAAAGAAATTTAATCCAACGATTTGCATGCCGCACAACTGATACGGTTTAAGTGTTTTTGTCAATTTTGGCATTTTGTTATACTTTTTACTTTCTTAACAATATCAGAAAAAAAAAGACTCAAACATCAAAAAGAATTCAGACTTTCCTGGATTTTTGCTTTTGTTTCAAGAATTTGAAATCACACTACCTTGTAACCTATGGTACTATATCTTAAACCTTGAACATAATTTATCTGACATTAGCATACCAACTAAATGAAGACTATATACTTACGTTCCTACTGGGATCCTATCCACAACCCTTCTTCGAATTGGGCAGCAGATTCTTCGGCCTTTTCCTTCATTGCCACTTGATATGCTACTTCAAATGCTTCACCCAAGGTCAAGATAATTTCTGTTCCTAACTCCTGAAAGAAATCGACAATTAAAAATAGATAAGAGATAGTGTCCTACCTGACAGCTCACAAGTCCTCACATCTCATCTGCGAGTAGGTTCCAATATGGCTACTTGTTTTTTTCGTACAGGACGAAATAGGACTGAAAGGAATCAATAGGAATAACACCCCAAAGGCCTCAACAGGACGCTCGTATGCTCAAATGAGCATTTTGTGTTAAAAAGCTACAAAATACTAAGTAAACATCTGGATCAATTGTAAACTTGTACATAAAAAGACAAAACAAATCTAAGAGAAAAAAGGAAGGTCTGTAAGATACAAAATATTTCTGAAAAGTAAAATGGTTTTAATACCTAAGAAGACATTTTGAGTATCAAATAAATTTTATGTGCAAATTCTGCAGGATTTTATCGAAGTTTAAAGATTTGAAATAATCATAAGTATCTATTCCACTTCTTGTTGTTATAATCTGTCAAATGTTCTGGGCTCTGGCAGCAGGCTTTATCTTCATGGGTAATGTTTCAGCTAAAAACAGGAATTTGTTAAAAAATTAAGACTTAAACAATTGTAATTTTTGCAGAATGGGTGTTTGCACAGTGTTTTTTTTAAAATCTCAATGCTTAACAATGGTCACAGTGGGTGGGCAGGGCAGTGAAATCAGTCTTTGTACAGTGTTATTTCACCAATTCATAACGTGGAATCTTCAATCTTTCTTTGGGTGCAACAGATCAAATCTCTCAACAATTTTGAAAATAAAGTAATGCCATTTGTTGATATTAAAAAAATTTATCACTCATGTCTTCTTCTGAAAGGACAATTTTGTATGTAATTGTGTGCTAAGTATCTACACATTTTTCGTAATTGGAATTTGAGTGGCTCGTTCTTTCTGTAATTCACATTTGACATCAATATTGCCTTTAATCTGTGATTTCTTGCAGATGTACCATGATGGCTTCTTTGGTACAGAACCCAAATGGATACGGTTCACATAAGAAATACATAAACCAATATTTTCTGTGCAACTGGAGTATGAACTAAGTACAAAGTTATTGACAAACTTTGCTTTTAATTTGAGATCAATACACATTTATTACAACAAATTCTGGCATTATGCTTTGTGTTTCTAAAAAAGCTTTCAATCAATTTCATTGGGATTTCATATTTGGTGGTAAAACTGGTCTAATGGACCAGTTTATATTTAAAAGATAAAACTTCAACCTGTCCCAAATACACATGTTGCCCTTGGGACCTTTCCCTGGACAAGTAAGTACACAATTTTGGTTTTCTGCAAGACAGGCAAATAAGATCTTATGCAAAAGACTCAGTCACATGACTCACATAATGGTTATTCAATGGAAATCCCTCTTTTACCGTAATACATTGTTATGGCAATCAGAGCACACTGAGGATTCAAAATTTGACATAAAGAAACTACTCACAGCTTCAAATAATCCAATGATTATACATAATAAACCGATTTCTCTCTTTTTTTATTTTACATTCCAGAGGAGCTATCTATAAAATTTCAATTGCACTATCTTGCTATTGTAAGTCCTTGCATGACTTGCATGAAATGGGTCTGATAATACTGTATTACCAGTTCAAAATTACATCTGCCAAAAAGAGAATCACTTTTGGGGAACCATAATGGCCATTCAAAAGTTTGATGTACTTTTTAAATCTTACTGTGTCATTGAGCCTTGAAAAATACATTCTGACAAAGAATCAAAAGGGTAACAACTGTATGAGACTCATATTTTATAATAAATACATTGTAAACAACCCATATTTTAAATTCTATTCTATCACGAAAATAGCAGTTATCACAATCATTCTGGAATCTGTGTTTGCCATCGGACCATGTGACCTTCATAGATGGCTTCCCTCTGTAGTATTTTCTTCAGAGATTATTACAAAAACCAAACCTTTTTTTAATAACCATTGACTAACTTCACTATTGGTAAGTATGTGAAAATTATCGTTTAGCCCAGGAAAATCCATTTTTGGTGAAAATGAACAGTTGTTATCCTTTCAGGTAAACCTTTTAGACAGCACTGCAATGTCATGTTTATTTGACTCTCCTTAATTAAATGGCATTGGAGGCCATTTTGATTTTTTAAAAATTGTGACGTGTGTGTGTGTGTTATTAAAAAGTCTGTTGTTCACTTAAATGTAGCATTCTTCAACTGTGTAATGTAATCAATGGATACCACACCTATATAAACAAAAGCACAAAGATGCCCTTGTTAGAGATTGATTTAAATTGCCTCCCCATGATCTGGTTTTTGATAAATCAATTGAGCAAGAAATAAGACTGGTTTTGAATAATAGAATGTTTTAACAAAATACATTTACCATTAATAACACATATTTGTAAAAGGGTGCTAGCCCAGAATGAATTGACAACACCTTAGTCAATTAGTATGCAATGTAAAGAAAGAGATTAATGAGCTACAGTTAATTTTGAGTTCCAGGGCACTTTAGCCTACTTGCCCTCCAGATTTCAGATCTATCATAGAAATAAATTAAAGGAAAGAATAGGGGCAAGGTATCCATTAATTTGTTAAGTGAGTTTCAAAACATAAAACAGAATAATGAAGGGGCCTTCTCTGAAATAATAATATTCTTGGGTCAGCATTTTCCTGTAGAGGAGCAGACAAATCGACACAGACAAAGTTTTTCATTGGTTACATAAAATATTGACAAAAGGAAAAATTTCCATTGGTTACAGTAAATGAGCTAAAACTCACATTCACATTTCAAACCAGCCAACCAATCACTTTTTTCATTACTGAAATACCAATCAGCAGTAATGTCATTAACATTGAGCACCCCCCAGTCAAACAGTCAACACAGAGGTGAGGGAACCAATACCCTTTCTTCTGAACTTGAAATCATCAGAGAAAAGATGATGTCAATGTTTCTACATTACAGGTCTCAGTCCCCACCCCCAAGATACCACACACCGTAAAAGTTTGCACCCATCAAAGTAAACTGCCCCAAGAGATTGAGCCCAAGACAATAGACGTGCTATCCATGTGTGACAGCCAAAGATGGGACAGTATACACAGCACTGTAAACAGGCCTTGTTCAGCTATCAGCAAATATTAGTTCTCACTGACCCTTGGGTCTCCACCTCTGTGCTGCAGTCACAGGGGTAGGCATCAGGAGGCTTACACAATGGAGCTGCCCTGCCACATCTTAGGGGTGTGTGTTGGTTGACCAAATAGCCCCAGGACTACCATTTGAGTCATTTTCTCAAGCAAAGCTTTCTCTTAATTACATCTATTTATTCCAGGTGATGAGAAAAAAGATCTTTTCTTTTCCCAAAGTGCTGACAGGAAAGAAGCCAAATAAAAAGTGTTCAATTAGATAAAAAAACAACATAAATCTGCGACTTTGATGTTTCACTGGTTTCAATTAAATGCAGAAGCACATTCTCGTTGCTATTCATGGCTTAATGAAAGATGGAGTCAACTCCCTTCCATGTTTCGTAAGCTTCTACAAATATGTTTAGCTTGACACTATCACTGCAAAGAATTTCAATTGTACTTTTTTCATTGATGTGTTGCTCATGTTAAAGGGAAAATTCATGCTTGACATGGTTCACTTTTAACCAGTACACAAAGATCAATACTAAGTTTCACGATGCCATCCACTCAAGCATGGCTATGTAGGCTTGATTCAATAATTGAGGGTCATGTGACATGAGTTTACCCAATGACCTGCACCTGCTATTAGAAGAATTCACCCACCATGAAAATATCAACGAAGTGATGGAACGACAACAAAATTATTAACAGAAATACAACTAATTGTAACACTTCAATCTTGCAATTACTGTACATTATTAAACAACCCGAGGGAACCTGAGGACAGTTTGATTTAAAGGTTGTCATCAATTATTTCTTGAAACATAACTGCAATGTGTTATGCCAGAATGTGGTATAATTTCCTTGGGTGATGACATTCATTTCTCTGAACTTTGAAGTCAACAATAGACATCAGGCAATGCGGCAAAGACCTGCAAGAACAGTAAATAGGTTGCGCAGGTTGAAGCATTCATACAATTATTGATCCATAACTTGTTTATTCATACAATTTGCTGCAAAGAATATTCAGCAATTGGTGCTATTCATGCAACCATGCTGTTGGCTGTAATAGCTGGCTTAATCACATCATGGGGACAAGCAATATGGACACCACTCACTCACTGCTTGCAACAAAAACAATTTTAAAGGGACATTTGCTAATTAAGTACATTTTTTTCATTTCAGGGATATGTCTGAACATACACCATGGCATACAATTTAATCATTAACTCTGTTTTAATTGACACATTTTGAGCTGTTTTTCAACAAGTGGAAAAAATAATTTACATTTTACCTATTAAATCATTTGAGCAGAAATTTTGCAAAAAATAAAAAGAAAAAAAAAATAAAAATAATAATAATAAAAAAAATAATAATAATAAAATAAAAAATAAATAAATAAACAAATAAAATAAAAAATGGAAAAAAAATAAATTTACCATTTTATTCCTTCAACATTACTCTGCTACTGAAGTCTTTAACATTTCTGGCAAATATCAGCAATTGTGAAATAAAAATGTGCATCACAGTGATAATATGTGCTGTAGTGTTTTTTAAAAAAGGATGATCAAGGCTTGACAGCTGGCATGCATTACACATAAAAATTAAAGTATGTTAATTGTTCGTTTTAAGTGCCTTAGTGAGATTATCTGGGTTATTCGGTAAAAAATTGAGAAAATTTCATTACAAGATTTATTGTCGTAGAGTTCATGCCAGCGGCACTACTTAATGAAGACCCCTTTTATCTGATCAGAACAAAAATCAGGTACTATTAAGAAAAATCCTCACTGAGACTTGGTAAACCAAGAGGATTAACTGACAATTTAACTGTCAATCTGGCAAGCGCAGATTAAATATGCAAGGATGCAGCAGCACTGATGACCCCTGATCCTATGCAGCTTGTACGTCATTATATCTAAT